TTGTGAGGTTGGTGTTTATAACGCTGCACCATCCTTCATGGAGATTCAGTGACTGGTTTCCTATCATTTTATTATTTCATGTGTGTATGTGTGGCAAGTCCTGGTATCTATGATCTTTTCTCAGATACTCTACTCCCTTATGCTTAGCTTTTTAAAAAAACTTTTGTTTTGTATCGGAGTATAGTTGATTAACAATGTTGTGATAGTTTCAGGTGCAGAGCAAAGGAACGCACGTTTAGCTTTCTTATTTCTATCCTTGTGGGATCATCTTTCAGGGAAGTGTCTGAGGTTGTTGGGATGGCAGAGCAGCGCATACTCTGTGTTCTCCCATGAAGAAGGGCAGGGTGACTGAGGGCTGCTTCTCAAATGGTGACTGTTGCCATAGGTGCCCATACCTTAAGGTCTCCGCTATTTGTGATGGTAAGCGTTAATTACAATCGCCACCATTTATATGCATTTATAATGCAAAATTCCTTATTTTACATGTATCCTCTCACATAATCCTTACAACAACCTTATAAATAAAACATTATAATCATTCCCGTTTTACAGATTATAAAATTGAGGCTTAGTAGGCTTCCCTGGTGGCTCAGAAGGTAAAGAATCTGCCTGCAATGCAGAAGTCCTGGGTTTGATCCCTGGATTGGGAAGATCCCCTGGAGGAGGGCATGGCAACCCACTCCAGTATTCTTGCCTGGAGAATCCTGTGGACAGAGGACCCTGGTGAGCTACAGTCCATGGGGTTGCAAAGAATCAGACTCGACTGAGCGACTAAGCACAGCACAAGAGCAAGATTAAGTCACCTACCCAGGTGACACAAATAGTAAGTGGTTGGGGCAACATTCAGTCCCAGACAATGTGACTGCAAGCTTTGAGTTCCGAATCATCCCAAACAGTCTCCCTTCTAAGGTTCTGCCTGAACTTGTTATCTGCTTATATCCAACTTCTCCAAATGGAATAATCCTTTTTAAGAAGTATTTTAGAGAGGGTGGACAATGTTGGTAATAAGAACTTGTGACTCCTATATCACCCAACACTCTTCTCTATACACCTAAATATTCTTAATTTCCATTTTCCTACAATGGTGCCATACGCTACTCTTATGCCTTCATGACTTACACTCACACAAGCAAAACTTATTTATTCTTCATACTGGTAAATTTGAAAAGTCGTTATTAATGAGCTTTATAGGTCATATGAAATGTAACTGGGCTACTTTTAGAATTTAGATGTTCCTAATCTATAGGAACTAGGAATAAAAAGAAGTTGAGGGTTCCACAGTGACAAGAAATGCCTTCAACACTGCAGGAGGAAAGATCCTGCCCTGCAGTTAATCACGTGGTCAGGCTCACAACCCAGCTCTGTTAGGTACCACTTAGGGAAGTGACTTCACCTCTCTAGGCACCACTTTCTCAACTGTACACAGAGATGATAAGTTGATGCCCTTAAGATCTCCCTGACATTTTGAGATTATTTCAACCCTGTTCCTTTCCTGCTGAGGTCTTGAATTTCTTATGACCATCTTTCTGGGGTTTCTGTCAATGTTTTGAGTGGGTGTTCTGGCAGGAGTAGCTGAGATGTTTGAGAAGAATTATTAAACACCCTACCGGTTGGGTGAACCAAATGACCATGAGGTCATCCCTTCTTTCTCTGATGTAATTTTCACAGGGTTGGTGGCTGCCATAGGAAAGGGGCTGGAGGTTACTGTTTACAGAGTCTTTGTTTCAGCAAAATCAACAACAAAGCACAGTTCCCATGGGTTTTGAGATCTGGAAATCCCTTTTTCACACACAGCCCTGTACTGGATATTTTAATGCAGGACTCCGGATCAGAAATGGATTCCCAAGTCCTGGCAGATGGTTCCAGAAACAGTGCTTACTGATCTGGTTTCAGTGAATTCTATTAAACACCCCCACCCTCATCTTGTGTGTTCAGTGGTTCTTTTCAAAATAGCCATCATGTGGGGTAAGAAAATTTACCAGTACTGAAGTACATAAATTTCAACGTGAGGATTTCAACCTGACTTCTTGGGTTTTGTAAAAGAAATATTTGCAATTTTGTGATTCTTTTCCCCTTCTAAGAGTGCTTACAAGTGGAGTCTAGAAAATGGGAAGTAGAAAAGCAGTGATCTTAGAATGTAGATGATAAAATGATTAGGGAGGGGACAAAGGAACAAGCAGAGAATTGGAAATAATGATTTCAAAAGAGGTGATGGTATGAGGTATGAAATTTATTACTTGAAGGAAACCTAGTCAAAAGGAAAAAGATGGTAAAGAAAAACTCAGAGGCCTGGTCTCTGAGTCTCAACCAAAAGTGAAGGGAAGTGAAGTGAAAGTCACGTCCACGACTCTTTGCGACCCCATGGACTATACAGTCCATGGCATTCTCCAGGCCAGAATACTGGAGTGGGTAGCTGTTCCCTTCTCCAGGTGATCTTCCCAACCCAGGGATTGAACCCAGGTCTCCCACACTGCAGGCAGATTCTTTACCAGCTGAGTCATAAGCATTCCTAAAAGTATTTTTAGAAAGACTAACACCTATAAGTAACATATACACCTACACACACACAGCCCCAAGTGAAGGTTATTATAAAAAAAATCATATGAAATTTTATCCATTCAGAGATGACATATCCTTTATTGGAGGATTTAAGGGAGGAACTTCAGCCAGATCTCAATATGAAGAACAGGTATGCTTCTCCCAAACATCTGTTTGATTTTTCTTACAAAGACTGTGACTCCTGATTCCCTCTTTTTTATGGTCACTATCTCAGAACAAAATTTAGTCACTGTAAAGATAATATAGTATACATTTCTGTATGTTTTATTTTTTCCTATCCTGCTTTCCTTTTCCCTTTATATCTTCAATTACTTACACTTATTCTTATAAGCATCTACAAAATATTTTGTGGGAGGATGTAGATATATACAAATATACCTATGTATAGAGACAGGTAGATAGATGTAGATTAAGGAGTTAAGGGCTATAAGAGGCCTCTGTGCTTATTTGTAGATGGTCCTCTCTCTGTTTATATATGGTGGCACCAACATCAGCAAAAATTAGTGAGAAACTTTCAAATAATCTTTGACTCACAACCAACTTAAAAAGAACAATCGGTAGTAGCTACTTGTGAAATTTGAGCTTTAGGGATGTGACATTGTGATAAGGGAAGTATTAGTTCATCTTTGAGCACCTGGATCCCCTATGGGGGAATGAGCTAGGAGATGAGGTTTGGAAAAAAGCTCAAAGGCTTTGGAAAAAATCTCTTTAATAACAATACTTGGGATTCAGGCACAAGGTGTTCATTTCTGTGTTCACAACTGATCCTGAGGATCCAGCACTACAATTCCAAAGGAATTATTTTCCAGAAACACTGTCTCTTCCCAATGTAGGCTCATGCACACACAGTCATCCAGGAAAGACTTTGCAAAACAAACAGCGCTGTCTTACAAGGACTGGGAGACAACTGCCAGGTATGACTCATGAGTATGCCACACAAACAGAACCTTTTGTGGCCAAGATGTCAAAGCCAGCAGATGTTCTGCTTTTGGGTCATGCTCAAGGATTCTTTGAGGTGGACCAGACTCCACTTTGAGTTGGGCATGACCATGAGTAAATGGCCTTGAAGAGATGCAATGGCTACCCTAAGACCATTGATTTCTGAACTTCTCATTTGGTCTTGGGTTAAGCAAGCATGTCATGGGTAGACTGCAATGCTTGTCAATAAACAGTAATCGGAATAGCCAGGCAATCACAATGCTGCAGATGCCACCTGAAAGTGATATCCTGGAAGCACTGCAATGCTTGTCAATCAGTGATGAGCTGCCTTAGAATCAGAAGTTGGGGGGAGCTGCAACAGTGCTGATTTCTGGGTATGACTGACTCCAATCCTACTGCTGCTGCTGCTGCTAAGTCACTTCAGTCGTGTCCAACTCTGTGCGACCCCATAGATGGCAGCCCACCAGGCTCCCCCATCTCTGGGATTCTCCAGGTAAGAAGACTGGAGTGGGTTGCCATTTCTTTCTCCAATGCATGAAAGTGAAAAGTGAAAGTGAAGTCGCTCAATCGTGTCCAACTCTTAGCGACCCCATGAATTGCAGCCTACCAGGCTTCTCTGTCCATTGGATTTTCCAGGCAAGAATACTGGAGTGGGTTGCCATTGTCTTCTCTGTTAATCCTACTAAATCAGTATATTTGATTTAAAAATGTTAATATTTGCCCCATGACTTACCCAGTAACTAATAAACCCTTTTTTAAAAATTAGTTTTTTAATTGAAGTATAGGGGCTTCCCAGGTGACACAATGGTAAAATTAGCCTGCCAGGGCAAGAATTACAGGAGATGTCAGTTCAATCCCTGGGTCGGGAAGATCCCCTGCAGAAGAAAATGCAGCCTACTCCAGTATTTCTGCCTGGAAAATTCCATGAACAGAGAAGCCTGGTGGGCTACAGTCCATGGGGTTGCAAAGAGTCGGACACAAGTGAGCAACTAACACACATACACAAACACATCAAAGTATAGTTGATTTATAATGTATACTCTGGATACTATTGGAGAAGGGAATGGCAACCCACTCCAGTATTCTTGCCTGGGAAATTCCATGGACAGTGGAGCCTGATGGGCTACAGTCTGAAAGTGCAAGTGAAGTCGCTCAGTTGTGTGTGACTATCTGCGACCCCATGGACTGTAGCCTGCCAGGCTCCTCCGTCCAAGGCATTTTCCAGGCAAAAGTACTGGAGTGGGTTGCCAATTCCTTCTCCAGGGGATCTTCCTGACCCAGGGATCGAATCCGGTCTCCCGCATTGCAGGCAGATGCTTTAGCATCTGAGCCACCAGGGAAGCCGGGCTACAGTCTATGGGGCTGCAAAGAATTGCACACGACTGAGCAACTAACACATACATGGATGCTATTTACAACTGAAACCAAACTGGAGCAGGAAAAAGAAGAAACGAGAATCCCAATTTTTAAATCCCATGTAAAACATCCCATGTAAAACTTACTGCCATCGGGCTTTATCCTTCAGGGAATTTTTCCTTGAGCTGTTCCCATCACTGGGGCTGTCCTCCTCCTCTGTCTCCAGACTTCGACTGCAGCTCCTGATGATCTGAAAGATGCTGTTGACAGTAGACTCCTTCTCTGAATTCTTTAAGCCATTCTGTCCCACTCGTTGTAAAAAATTATCTTGTCCACTATAATCGGCTACAAACTACAGAGAAATATATTGAGGATTTGTTATCGCAGCTTCACATACTACATCTCAATAACCTACTTGGCTAGAGAAACGAAATCATAACAATCATAAATAACGGCATTTGTGCCTATTTTATTGGGGGGGAAAACCAACCTCCAGGAAAAACATTTTTTCCTTTCACCACATGAAATACCAAAACTTACTCTTGTTTCCACTAAGACAACTTCAGTCCCTCTAGGAATCAACACTCCACTTCGAGTTTATAACACAAAAAGCAATATTATTTCAAGGTTCCCTAGGGAGAAGATTAGCCACTTTACAGAGGAAGGATAGAGTTATTTTATTCCTGTAGTGAGAATTGAGAAAAACCATGACAGAAATCTATTATTCTATGGAACCAGATAAAATTACTGGGGCCCAAGGAAATGATCAAGGGAGGGGGACATTTTTCTTTATTTCCCATCTATCTTAACAGTAACACAGAGGCTTCCTGGTGATTTATAAGCTATTATTGTCTGTATTTGTAATCAGGGAAGTATCTCCCATCAGAGGTCAGAGGGATGGCTAGGCCATGAGATATGGAGTTCCCTACTGCTGAGATGTGAGGGAGCTGGTTCGGGTACAGCTTGGGGGGCTTGCTTTAAGCTTTCTCCTTCATTTCTTGCACTTTTTTTTGTTGTTGTTATTTAGTCATTAAGTTGTGTCTGACTCTTTTTGACTCATGGGCTTTAGCCTGCCAGGCTCTTCTGTTCATGGGATTTTTTCAGGCAAGAACATTGGAGTGGGTAGCTACTTCTTCCTCCAGGGGATCTTCCCAACCCAGGGGTTGAATTTGCGTCTCCTGCACTGCAGGCAGATTCTTTACTGCTGAACCACTGGGGAAGTATCTTCTTGCACTTTATGCCCCCTTTCACAAGTCAGGGAGATAGAAGCCAGTAATGCTGCCAGCACCTGTCAGGGCCTCTAAGTCTCCCTGATACCAGGTAATTCTTTTGCTCCCAGGGGACCTGGAAGAGGCTGCGGTTTTAGGAGAGTCTTCCCACTGTTACCAAGAAGGGGTGTGAATGAGGGTGAGAAAGAGAGAGAGAGAGAGAGAAGGAGAGAGGGGGAGAGTGTGTGTGTGTAAGGTCAACAGTGCGTGCTGGCACCATGGTGAGAATGACTCTAGATTTAGGTATGGGACTTCTGGGCATGGGACTCCTCAAATTTCTCCGTAAAGTCCCCCACCTTTCAATCCCTTCTTTCATTTCTAAACACCATATAGAGAGGTATCTGTATATTCTGTTTCTCAGTGCCTCTTCTCTGCACTGCCCAGTACTCTGAGTCCAAGATCATGTGGTTCTTCCCATGCTGGGGGTTGGGAATGAGCACCAATGGGCTGGGGACAGCAAGATCAGGAGCCCAGAGCACATCCTCAGAGGTCACGCCAAATTCCCAGAGTGGAGGAAAAGAAGGCAGCACTGACTTCCCCTCATCCTTTCTTCCACTGACCCCAAAAAGTTACTACTCTCATCTGACTTCTTATATCCCCTTCACCCATTTGCACCCAACAAGAGAGGAAAATCCCATCAACCTTAAGAAAAAACACCCACAGAAAAACAGCACATTTGTACATTGCCCCATTAAAGCTAACTTAATATAAAGCTCCAACAGTGCTAGTTGGCCTTCTTTTCTTTGTAATGTTCAAGGATCTAGTGAAAGTGAAACTGTCAGCTGCTCAGTCATGTCTGACTCTTTGTGACCCCATGGGTTGTAGCCTGCCAGGCTCCTGTCCATGGAATTCTCCAGACAACAATACTAGAGTGGGCTGCCATTCCCTTCTCTAGGGGATCTTCCCGATCTAGGAATCGAACCCAGGTCTCCTGCATTGCAGGCAGATTCTTTACCATCTGAGCCACCAGGGAAGCCCCCAAGGATCTAACTGTTAGTCAGCACAACGGTGACAATGGATAGCCCCAGGCTCAGAGGTGTCTCTCTTCTGGCTTCAGTGCGTGACAAGCCAGGAGGCAACAACGACTCTCCAGATCATGAGAGTTTTGAAAGGTCTCACCTCTAAAGTTTCTTCCTGTGAATTGTACCTCGGGCAAAGCTTCATGAGGCCAGAGGCTCCGTCCAGCACCTCACAGAGCTCCTTCAGGAACACCCCGCAGAACGGAACCACCTTGCAGCCGGGGATGTGCAGCGCTCGTGTCACCACCTTCCTATATTCACAGGAAGACTCGTGCTGGGCCATGGCATCCTTCAGGCTCCTCATGGTCTCCAGGTCAGACTGGTCCATAAACTGCCACATTTTTAAAACTTTCCGTGACCTATGGCAAGTCAGGGACATTGTTTTTAGACCAAAGGAGAAATAATATCGTTTACAGTAGACAGCTTAAATTCTGTACGAAATTCATTTGTTTATGTTTTCTTTCTGTTTTAATATTTATTTAGGATTCACATTGCCACCTACTTCCCCAAATGATGTGAATATTACTTTAATAAATTGAAACACGAAATTAAACAGAGATATATACAAAAACACACGTTGGGGGGAGTTAATTTTGGAAGGTGGGCACTGAACCTTGAGTTTTTCTGGTTTCCCAAAAGGGAAATCTGATGGGCAATATGGTTTTTACAAATATTCATGGAGGATCACTCACAGAAAATGTGTTCCATTTACTCCTCTTGATCTTTTAAACATAACTGGATGAGGCCAGTCCTGCAGTGATGCCCGCAAAGCCTGTTTTGGCCTCTTCTATTAAACTGCTTCAACTGACATTAAGTCACTGGCCTGTCTTGAGGGATCCTATCTTAAAGTATCATTTGCAGAACAGGATGTTAAATGAGAGTCTTCCTATGTTTAAATTGCTGCTAAGAATAACAGCTGACATTGAACTCCATCTTCTAAAGTAAGGCAGCGTGTTGTCACCAGGAGACTCAAAGTGTTCTCCCACAGAGGTCTCCCACCCTCCATCAGCAGAGAGCTGGGTCTGAGCAGCTAAGCGGGAACTCCTTTGCAGAGGGCTGTCAGGACATGGTAAGTGAGAAGGAGGATACCTCCCCAAGTTCAGGGGCTTCGGGGAACTTCATGGAGAGGCTGGCCCATGTCCTGGCAGCTTGTTGATCATGTGGGCTGCCTGGTGTGTGACTTCCTGGAAAGTGTAAGGACGAGAGGCTGCCTGGGGCCACGGGATGGCTATGTGAAGGAGAAGGATCTGGTGGGTGTGCTTTGCGTCTGCAGAGCCTGGGTGGGCAAAGTGGTGGGGCTTTCTGTGAGTCTGGAATGGATCCTGAGAGGCAGCAGGGCTTGAGTTATCTTGAAAGGCTTCCCTCCAAATAAGGGGGCCCTAGTGGAAAGTCTGTAAGGGTAGGCCTTCCAGAACTAGATGCTGTGGGGGAGGACTGAGTGGTGGGCCAGGCTGGGGGTGTACCACCCCTCTCCAGGTGATGGTACAGGGGGTTGCTTCCAGACGGGAACTAGGGTGAATTAGGGCAGGGAAGTAGGAAGTGACCCTGAAAACACCCCACATGGCTCTCTGTGGGGTCACCAAGGCTGGACCACAGTGGCCCTAGTCAAGTTAGACTGGCTCCCTTTACCCCTCCTCCCTTCTCTCCTGTCCTGCCCATGTTTTCTGCAGGAACCCTGAGACAGAGGGAGAGAAAAGATAAATTATATCTTCCCACCTACTGCAGCTTTTTTTCTTTTTTCTTTTTACTGCAGCTTTCTGAGACTGGTAGGGCTGCGAAATTGGGGAAAAGGTGAAGCTTTTCTTCTTTTTTTTTTTTTTTTCTTCCCAGGTGGCACTAGTGGTAAAGAACCTTCCCAGGTGGCGCTAGTGGTAAAGAACCAACCTTCCTGCCAGTGCAGGAGACATCAGAGACACAGGTTTGATCCCTGGGTTGGGAAGATCCCCTGGAGGAGGGCATGACAATCCACTCCAGTATTCTTGCCTGGAGAATCTCATGGACAGAGGAGCCTGGCAGGATATAGTCCATGGGGTCACAAAGAGTCAGACACAACTGAAGCGACTTAGCAGCAGCAGCAGTGTGACATACAGGATCTCAGTTTCCTGACCAGGGATTGAACCCATGTCCCATGCAGTAGAGTGTGGAGTGTTAACCACTGGACCATCAGAGAAGTCCCTTTACTCCTTTTATTGAAGTTTTAAATGAAAACTTGAAGCTCTGATTTATACCAGACTGAATTAAAAAATCATTAGGTAATATCTAAGACATCCAAAAGACATCAAGAAGTACAACATGACAAACACTCATGCATCAACCTCTCAGTTTAAAAAATTAAAGCATTCATAATATGGCTGAGGCCCCAGAGAACTCCTCCGTGAACAAACCCCCCTCCCTTCCTCACAAGGGACCACGACTGCAATTTTACTGCACTCCTCCCCTGACAATTCCTCATACTTTCTCAACTCGGGCAGATATTGCTAAGCAGTTTGTACAACTGTTTGTGCATTTTTAAACTTTATACAAATGGTGTCACGCTGTAGGCGACCTGCTTTTATGGCACTGCCATATGATTCTGCGGTTCACTAGTGCTCGAAGGCATAGGTGAAGGAGATGGCTTATTAACCACACAAGTGACGGGGAAAGACACAGGGGGCCCAAGATACATTCCAGAGTTCAGGGGAAGAAGAGCCAATTGGCAGGTTTGAAAGACAGTGAGGTCAGAAAAATAAAACTGTCTCCTGATTTCCCCCCACTGGGTTCAACTTGTCCTACAACCAGTTCCTTATAAGGTGGGGAGAATCCATTTGGGGGCATGGAATGGAGGTTTAAATAAATGAAGTGAGCACATGAATGAGACTTGGTTCTCATTATCTGATCATCCTTTTTTTCATGAGTCATGATATGTGGGTGGGGCAAGAGACAAATCTTAGCAAATAGCAATGGTTTTTTGTTAGACTGAGGACTGACACTGTTTAAAAAGAAACTTTTTCTTTTCATGATTAAAAAGGTATGCCCATTGTAGACAATCTCAAAAATACCAAAAATATAGAAAATTCACTCACAGTTCTTCCAACCACAGAAAACAGTAGGTATATTTCCTTCCAGTACTTATCCTATTTGTGTCCGTCTGGTCTAAATATTTTATACATTTTGTTGTATAAATATTGCTGAGGTTATTAAGTATGGACAGCTTTGTTCCCAGGTAGTTTTATATATTGTATGTTACTTGATGTCCTATGATATTAAAATTATTATAAACATTGTTTTTAGTGATTAAATAATATTCCATTGTGTGGATGCATCATGTTATTTCCTTCATTTTGCTGTTATTGTTCATTTGGTTTATTTTATTTTATTATTTTAAAACCAAGGTGTCATTGACATTTGGGTTATTTTATATTGACATTAAAATTGAGTCAATATTGCTGCATGTAAATCTTTGTACTTCTACTCATTTCCTGTAAACAGCTGAGAATTTAGTTCGAGAAAGCAAAATGTACAAAGGTGACAGAAAAGCTGTCACTTAACAATTAGATTGTGCCCCCTTCCCCTCTAATTGTTTTAAAAATGAAAAAAATCAGTTATCTTGATGCAGTTCAATTACTTGTAATCTAAATGCTTTCAAACTTGAAAGTGCACATGTGAGCTCTTCCTCCATTATCATTCCATCATAAGGACATCCAGCAACTTACCTCCTGTATCTACTGTTCTGGCTGACGAACTATTAAACCTGGTAGTTTTACCCATCTATTTGTAAAGACTAATTCAGCCTTAAGCCAAATATAGGAGTGTGAAACTAGGTAGCAGTGGGTCTGGGGTGGCCAGGAATCAATGGTAAGGTTTAGCTGTTTTGACATTATTTCTCATCTCAGAAAGAATTACCTGGCTCTATAGACTTCCCTTGTGGCTCAGCTGGTAAAGAATCTGCCTGCAAGGCAGGAGACCTGGGTTCAATCCCTGCATTGGGAAGATCTCCTGGAGAAGGGAAAGTCTACCTACTCTAGTATTTTGGCATTGAGAATTCCATGGACTATAGCTCATGGGGTTGCAAAGAGTCAGACAATTGACTGAGCAACTTTCACTTTCACATGGACTTCTTGGATTTTGAATTCAAATTAAGTTGGGTCTAAAAGTCACATTTCCCCAAGGCCTCCATTGGGCATTATGAGGCTATGCTTTGCATCAAGGGACTCTCTAATACATGGTACGTGGCAGCCAACCTCCAAGATAGCCTCCAAAGATCCACACTTCCTGCTGCGGTGTGGTCCCCACTCACAGTGAGCCAGGGCTGGTCCTACATGATCAGTACAACATGGCAGAAGTGGACAGTGTGTGACTCCTGAGGCCAGGACATAAAAAGCACCGCAGCTTCTGCCTTGCTCTTTCCATTTATTTATTTATCTATTTATTTATTTTTGGCAGCATGGGGTCTTTGTTGCTGTGTGCAGCTTTCTCTAGTTGTGGCAAGCGGAGGCTACTCCCTAGTTGTAGTGTGCAGGCTTCTCATTGCAGTGGTTTGTCTTGTTGCAGAGCACAGGCTCTAGGCAATGGGTTTCAGTAATTGGGGCTCAGGGGTTCAGTAGTTGTGGTGCCCAGGCTCCAGAGTACAAGGGTTCAACAGATGTGGTGCATAGGCTCAGTTGCCCACTGGCATGCAGGATCTTAGTTCCCAGACCAAGGATCAAACCCATGTCCCCTGCCTTGGCAGGCAGGTTCTTAACCCCTGGACCATGAGGGAAGTCCCTGCCTTGTTCTTTTGGATTGTTCACTTTGGAGGGAGCCAGCTGCCATGCTGTGAGGATGGTGACATCCAGAAGAGAGGAAGCGAGGTCCCCAGACAACAGTCAGCACCAGTTTGCTAGTCAAACACGGAAGGATCAGCACCATTGTATGTGTGTCCTTAGCTGCTCAGTCCTAGCCCACCAGGAGGTCTGTAGTCTACCAGGTTCTTTCATCCATGGGATTTTCCCACTGGAGTGGGTTGTCATCTCCTCTTCCAGGGGATCTTCCACACCCGGGGATCTCTTGCATCTCCTGCATTGCAGGTGGATTCTTTACCGCTGAGCCACCAGGGAAGCCCAAGCACCATTAATACAGGACTATTTTATCATAATATGATCTCTATTTTTTTACAGGAAAATAATGCAGGGACTTCCCTGGTGGTCCAGCAGTTAAGAATCTGCCTTCCAATGCAGAGGATGTGGGTTTGATCCCTGCTTGGGCAACTAAGATTCCACATACTGTGGGGCAACTAAGCCTGCATATTGCAACTAAAGAGAAGCCAGCAAACCACAAGAAAAGATCCTGCATGCTACAACTAAGATCTTGTGCAGCCAAATAAATAAATAAATATTAAAAAAGAAAAGTAGCACAGATTCTTTGTAGAAAATTTATCGCAAAGAGAATCAAATCATCTGGATATAGCCTTTTCTTCACCCAGTACTTTTCTATTTTTCCTTCTTTCAAGCCATGCTTAGTGCATTTGTATGACCATTTTAAATGCCAACGACATGATCATGTGAGTTTATTCTTAGTTGAGAAAGTTCAAAAGGACGAAAAAATTTCCAACTAAGAATTTTCCTCTCCACCCCCAATCCTGAACCCCTATGTCAGGCCTGGAGAATCAAAGAAAAACCTTGAAATGTTTTGAAGCAAGATCTATTTATAGATCTTCGTTGGGAAGACAAATCTTAGACAACAACAACAACAGCAATGACAAGTTCTCTTCTTGAGCCTTATTACATGCCAGACGCACACACTCAACACTTTACATTGTCTCATTAAATCCTATGCAAAGGGGTAGGTGCTTTTTATTATTGCCACCATTTGCAGATGAAGAAACTAAAGCTCAATGAGGTCAAGTAACACAGCTGTTCCACAGGGGAGCCAGGATTTGATTCCCTGTTATTCTAATTCCCTGTTATTCTAATTCCACCATTTATCCTCTTCTTCCTCATACCACACTGCCACCCACAAGAGAGAGGAACAGCTATTTTAGCAAGGTAACTGATGCTTAAAGGGAATACAGCAGGAGGCTTTAATGACAGAATGCTGATCTTATTATTAGCTTGACAGAGAAGGTGTAAGAGGAAGATATCACTGAAGTTAAGGGCACAGGCTCTGAAATCAAGGTGGCCTGCATTCACATCCTGGCCACACCAGGTGACCTTGTGTGAGTGATTTTATTTCTTCTTATCTTAGACATTTCTTCTTTCATCCGGTATGGAAATAATAATCGTATCTACCTCAAAAAATTGTTCCAACAATCGAAAGTTTTAATGCACAGAACATGCTTAGTTCAATTCTTGACATGTAGTAAGTATTCAATAAAAATGACAGCTAAGATTATTCAGTGCTTATTATCAACATAAGCCACTGTTATTGGTGAGGGCAGTCAGTGGTTGGCAGCTTACAGTGCTAGGTAATTTGTAAGGTAGATCTGGGAAGAGATAGGTAACAGTGGGGCACACAGGCCAGGAAGGGGAAAAGGAGGTCAGTGATGGCGTTGAATGAGTTAAACAATCAGACACTCAGCCTGCCCAAGAGCAAGGGATCAGGGCAGACACAGTGGAGTAGGACCATGCCTGCTTAATTCTGCAGCACCTCTGAGGAACAGGGATTGTGGCACTAACAGAGGGTAATATATTTCCCCCAAAAAATCAGTACCAATTGCCTAGTTTGGGTAAATATGGTTACCCAGACAATTAATTCAGTGCTATTTAGCTGTTAAGAGGAAACCCCAGATAACTATATTCCACTGCCCATACCTGAGGCCGGCCAAGAACTCCATGACGGCATTGTAGTTGCCCATGTTCCAGCAGCATTTGGCCACATGAACCAAATACGAGAAGACTTCCCGCTTCTCTTCCATGGAGCCTGCCGCGAGGATCAGCCACGTCACCCAGGAACTCACCTGTAGAATGCAGAGAGGGGCATCCACTGAAACCAGGCCGGGGAAGCTTGACATATATTTTCTCATGAGAAAAATATTGTTAGGAAATGAAGGACCCTGTCAAGAGACTGAATTGAAGCTCTAGCTCCATCACTACTTAGGAAATGGGATTAACCTCTCTGTTAATCTTCTCACCTTTAAAATGAGGCTGGGAGAAGGCGAGGGTGGGATGTTTCAAGAGAACAGCATTGAAACACGTATATTATCTAGGGTGAAACAGTTCACCAGCCCAGGTTGGGTGCATGAGACAAGTGCTCGGGCCTGGTGCACTGGGAAGACCCAGAGGGATTGGGTGGAGAGGGAGGTGGGAGGGGGGACCGGGATGGGGAATACATGTAAAAAAAAAAAAAAAAAAAAGAACTATTTTCAACAATGGAAAAAAAAAAAACATATTGTAAACAGTTTAAAAAAAAAATAAATAAATAAATAAATAAATAAATGAAAATAAAAAAAAATAAAAAAATGAGGCTGAAAGGTAATTCCATAGGAAAACAAGGCCTAAAGGTAAGATGATTTAAATGTATTTGACTGATGGAGCAAGAATAAATGCAATCAATACACTTAGCACATGAACAAAAGTCCATTTGTCAAAGAGTACAAAGCATAATATTAAATGAAAAAACAAAAACCTTTTTGAACTATCTTACACAAATGCATTATCTATTATGCTTCTCAAATGACTAAATAATAGAACCAACATAGCACTTATGTTACTGTTCTAAGCACTTCATATATGTTAACGCATGGATCTCTTACAACAGTCCTGAGTCAGGAACCATAATTATGCTCATTTTATAGATGAAGAAACTGAAGGACAGAGGGCTTAAGAGACTTGCTCAAAGTTCCCAACCAATAGGTAGCAAAGCTGAAACTGAACTGAGCTGTGTGCCCCTGGTGGCTCAGAGGTAAAGAATCCGTCCTTAGCCAACCAGGAGATGCAGGAGACGTAGGTTACGGGAAGATCCCCTGAGGAAATGGTAATCCACTCCAGTATTCTTGCCTGAAAAATCACACCAAGAGAGGAGCCTGGCAGGCTACAGTCTATGGGGTAGCAGAGGGTTGAACACAACTGAGCACGTACACATGAAAAATGAAATGTGTGTCCCTGAGGTGTTACTATTAACTACTCACTAAATACCTAATGTAGATACTGTTCTCCCTTAGGCTTAAATTTAGTCTAATGTGATTTGCCTTTCTACTATACAGACCAGAGTATCAGTTCAGTTCAGCTCAGTAGCTCTGTCTGAGTTTTTGCGACCCTATGGACTGCAGCATGCCAAGCTTCCCTGTCCTTCACCAACTCCCAGAGCTCACTCATACTTATGTCCATCCAGTCAGTGATGCCATCCAACCATTTCATCCTCTGTTGTCCCTTTCTCCTCCCGCCTTCAATTTTTCCCAGCATCAGAATCTTTTCCAATGAGTCAGTTCTTCGAATCAGGTGGCCAAAGTACTGGAGTTTCAGATTCAGCATCAGTCCTTCCAATGAATATTCAGGAATGATTTCATCTAGGATTGACTGGTTTGATCTCCTTGCAGTCCAAGAGACTCTCAAGAGTCTTCTCCAACAACAAAGTTCAAAGGAATCAATTCTTCTGCGCTCAGCCTTCTTTAGAGTCCAACTCTCACATCCATGCATGACTACTAGAAAAACCATAGCTTTGACTAGATGGACATTTATCTGCAAAGTAGTCTCTGCTTTTTAATATGCTGTCTAGGTTGGTCATAGCTTTTCTTCCAAGGAATAAGAGTCCTTTAATTTCATGGCTGCAATCACCATCTGCAGTGATTTTGGAGCCCAAGAAAATAAAGTCTCTCACTGTTTCCATTATTTCCCCATCTATTTGCCATGAAGTGATAGGACCAGATACCATGATCTTAGTTTTCTGAATGTTGAGCTTTAAGCCAACTTTTTAACTCTCCTCTTTCACTTTCATCAAGAGGCTCTTCAGTTCTTCTTCACTTTCTGCCATAAGGGTGGTGCCATCTGCATATCTGAGGTTATTAACATTTCTCCCAGCAATCTTGATTCCAGTTTGTGCTTCATCCAGCTCAGCCTTTCATATGATGTACTTTGCATATATAAATAAGCAAGGTGACAATATACAGCCTTGATGTACTCATTTCCTGAGTTGGAACCAGCCTATTGTTCCATGTCTAGTTCTAACTGTTGTTTTTTTGACCTGCATACAGATTTCTCAGGAGACAGGTAAGGTGGTCTGGTATTCCCATCTCTTTAAGAATTTTCCACAGTTTGTTGTGATCCGCACAGTCAAATGCTTTTGTGTAATCAATAAAGCAGAAGTAGATGTTTTTCTGGAACTCTCCTGCTTTTTCGATGATCCAACGGATGTTGGCAATTTGATCTCTGGTTCCTCTGCCTTTTCTAAACCCAGCTTGAACATCTGCAATGTCATGGTTCACGGACTGTTGAAGCCTGGCTTGGAGAATTTTGAGCATTACTTTGCTAGCATGTGAGCAATTATACAGTAGTTAGAACATTCTTTGGTATTGCCTTTCTTTGGGATTGGAATGAAAACTGACCTTTTCTAGTCCTGTGGCCACTGTTGAGTTTTCCAAATTTGCTGGCATATCGAGTGCAGCACTTTCACAGCATTATCTTTTAGGATTTGAAATAGCTCTACTGGAATTCCATCACCTCCACTAGCTTTGTTCGTAGTGATGCTTCCTAAGGCCCTCTTGACATCACATTCCAGGAGGTCTGGCTCTAGGTGAGTGATCACACCATTGTGGTTATCTGAGTCATGAAGATGTTTTTCATACAGTTCTTCTGTGTATTCTTGCCACTTCTTTTCACATCTTCTGCTTCTGTTAGGTCCATACCATTTCTGTCCTTTATTGAGTCCATCTTTGCATGAAGTGTCCCCTTCAGTATCTCTAATTTTCTTGAAGAGATCTCTAGTCTTTCCCATTCTATTGTTTTCCTCTATTTCTTTGCATTGATCACTGAGGTAGGCTTTCTTATCTCTCCTTGCTATTCTTGGGAACTCTGCATTCTCCTTTGCCTCTAACTTCTCTTCTTTTCTCAGCTATTTGTAAGACCTCCTCAGACAACCACTTTGTCTTTTTGCACTTATTTTTCTTCGGGATGATCTTGATCACTGCCTCCTATACAATATCATGAACCTCCGTCCATAGTTCTTCAGGCACTCTGTCTATCAGATCTAATCCTTTGAATATATTTGTCACTTCTGCTGTATAATCATAAGGGATTTGATTTAGGTCATACCTGAATGGTCTAGTGGTTTTCCCTACTTTCTTCAACTTAAGTCTGAATTTGGCAATAAGGAGTTCATAATCTGAGCCACAGTCAGCTCCTGGTCTTGTTTTTGCTGACTGTATAGAGCTTCTCCATCTTTGGCTGCAAAGAATATAATCAATCCAATTTCAGTATGGACCATTTGGTGATGTCCATGTGTAGAGTCTTCTCTTGTGTTGTTGGAAGAGGGTATTTGCTATGACCAGTGCAACTGGAGTATAATACTTAATAATAATCTACTATTAAAGTCCCCACTTTATGGTATACAGCCTCAAAATCCTTTGCTTAATCTCTAAGATTATTTTGCTGCAATCTATACTTTGGTGCCTTGATACTAATGTTCACTTAAGTTACTTTCTCCATCCTGCTTAAGGTCTGGGCTGATAAGTTCAGTTGTTAGTAGATCAAAGCCTTGGTCTTGACCTTGATCCCCCACCCCCACCCCTGCCATGGCCCACAAGTTTTACTTGGTTCAGCAACAGTGCCGAAACCTGGGGAGCAACTCATTTCTCTGGCTTGAGTGAGAGTGAAGCCTGAACAGAGAACGTTACAGGGGGATAAGTTCAAGGTCTAAGGGAACACTTCTCTGCCTCCTTTCCTCCAAATAAAATGAGAGGAATGAATGGCATTTAGTGCTGGCAGCAACCACAGAGGGCGGCCCAGCCTCTTTCTTCCAGATCAAGAATTCAAGGCTCGTGGGAGAAATTGACTTGCCAACGTCACAATTCTTATGGATGTCAAAACTAGGACTCCCAGGCTGGTGCTTTTTCCTCTGATGAAAGGAAGCTAGTTTTGGTAAACTTGGCACCGGTAGGTCCTTCTAAGCACTCAATAAGAGATGCATACTTGAAGACAGAGATGGAATCAAAGGAGAAGGTACCAAGAAGAGTATCGAAACATGATTTAGAAAATGAAAAAAGCAGAACAGAAAAGATCAGTGCTGAACACACCTTTCCTTTCCCTATACACAAACAAGTAGGAGACAGCAACAGAGAGATTCCATGCTAGCACAGGGTTATAATCTGGTGCCAGTCAGGAGCACTGCAGTAATAATCTGTCTCTTCTTTTCTGAAATTGGCTGAAGCAAAAAGTGATGGGCCACCTTGTAGCCCTGAGCCCAGCCCCAGCCCAATGGGCTCTCAGCCAGCACCACCACTCTCCACCTGCTCGGACTTAGCTGAGCTCTCATGAGACGTCAGGGAACAGATCTGGAATCAGACCCCTGGGATGAGCCAGAGTCCAGACCATCCTGCAAAGAATGAAGATCCTCTTGGGAAACAGATAACCTTTCGTTTGGTCTCCTGGGGCTCCTCTGGGAGCCCCAGGAGACCTCTGGGATTCCCAGAGCCGACCCCTCTCCTGCAGCTGTGAGCAATCCCTGGCTCACTGCTTCTCGGCCTTGTCCCTTCACCTGCTTACCCAGTTACCAGTCACTTTTGTGGAACTCTGGCTCTCTAGACCAAGCCATTATATTGCCAATAGAGACTGAGTGTCGTTAAAGTTTTCAGCCAATTCTGTTAGTGCGATCAGCTTTTGATAAGCCCTATCCACCTGATGTGAAGAGCTGACTCAAAGACCCTGATGCTGGGAAAGATTGCAGCCAGGAGGAGAAGAGGGTGACAGAGGATGAGATGGTTGGATGGCATCATCAACGCAAGGGATGTGAGTTTGAGCAAACTCT